TTTTTTTTTTTTTTTTTTCTCTCTCTCTCTTTAGTCTGCCTTTTTCTTACTCTTTAGTCATGATTGAGTATTGATTGTGGGTTTCTTTGTGCTTGTCTAAATATGTGGAATCACACACCCCAAATCATCTTTCATGGCTACACCTAATCTGAGAAACAATTAAGCTGTCAACGTCTTCTTTAGTTCACTTGTAAATGATTCTTTTACTGTGAATGAAAAATTACCTGTAACTGAATACTGATTGACGGCTTGTAATTGTCAGTTATATTGTACCGGAGAGAGCCAGAAGGAAATTTGGTTATGGGAATCTCAAGGGCTCAAGCTGGTAAATCGGGCCAGAAGGTATGACGTACAAAAATGTCAAAATTATGATGCTGCATGCAATGGAACAGTTACTGTATTTCACTTATTTTTTATATGGCTACATATGGAATTCCCTAAAGGTTTCCAATATGTCAATGGTTGGTTTTCTTGAAGTAACATGTCAGTGATAAATATTAGGACTAAACTACAAAGAATGTCTTTCATAATGGTGCTAATTAGCGAGAACTACTTTTCCTATATGAAAAGTAGAAGGCATTTTCTTGAAACTTTTGGGTTCCTCAATCGTAGAATGTCCATCATAATAGTCTTAAGATGGCATCAATTATCAAGAATGTGGTTGAGCAGAACAAAGTTTCCTATGGCTTTGGGCTTTAGTTATGACCTATAAGCTACCAGCAGAGAGTGAAAACTAACTGGGCTATGAATTTTAGAAAAATAGGAAGCAACCTCTAAATCCCTTTAGAATAATGGAATCAAATGCTATTAAGCCATAATATACTGTTTCATTTTTTTCCCTCAAGCATGATATGTTAAAGCATGTTGCATATACATAGGAATAGGTTTTTGTTTCTGCCAAATGATTCTCTGACATAAGCAAAGGCTATTGAAAATTTGGTTGTTCTTTGAATGTTAAGGTAGTCAAAGAAGTCTGAATATAAGTGGTCAGCAGAGTTTAAAAGCTTGAAAAGAAGCATGTTTGGGTCTTAAATGTATGTGGTTGAAAGGCAATGGTTAGCTGATGAATGTGTTACTGAGCTCTTATGTTCTTACGAGGTTCTCATTGTAACCTTCTTTTGTCCTTCTAAAGTATTAGTATACTTTTCTCAGATAAGAACAATCATGAATTAGTGGAGAGGATGCTAATTGAAAGCTTCCTTTTAGAATATAGCTTTCTATATTGGGCTCTGAGTTGGGTTTGTGAATTTTATATATGTTAAGCCGTTTATCATCCTAAGATTTGATGCTTTCTTTTTCCAGAGTTCAGCTTGAGGAACTGAAATGAGACAAACCCGTCAAAGACCAGTGTGAACCCTGTGCTTTTCAGGGATGATGTTGAAGGTCCTTTTCTGCATGCTGTAACAAGTCAAACTTTAGTATGTTGATGAGTTGGTGAAGTCTGCTTTTGTGTTTCAAAAACTTATTATCCTTTTCTCTGTTATTAGCCAAACCTTCAAGGAAACAAATGCAACTAAGTGTGCTATGCTAATATGTAGTTTGTTGGGATGTTTTCCATAATGTTTAAATTATGTTTTTCTTGTGGTACTAGAAATCTTAAGGTGTGAAGTTCATTAAAACCCACATTTAGTCAGATGACTGGCCTGAACTTGAAATCCTTGTAACTCAACCCTCCTAATTGGATGTCCCAAAATAAAAAATAAAAAATAAAAAAAAACCCTTCTAACTGGATCTTCTATCTTTACTCTTTAGTTTAAAAGAATAAAAATCTGGTTTTATTTGCCGATGCTTCAGGTTTTAATTTTTCAGTACCGTTTTTATTACATGAAGCATCTTTCCTTCTAGTTTAGAAATGTGAATTTAATTTGTAGAAAGTTAGAACAAACACAAACATGGGTTTCACTAGAAAACATTTGTACTAGATTTATTGGGGGTGACACTTTCTAGAATTGAAAGTTTTTGTGCAATATTTGTGGAAATAATAAGAAAAAGTCTGTCTGTTGGTCACTAATGAAACACTCTTTGCCATATCTTTTAACTTGTAGTGAACATTTATTGTTTGACATCTCAAGCATTTGCAACTATAAAAATATTTATTAAGTCAAGTTTCTTTGAAGCTTGATCCGGTATAAATCTAGATTTAAGCAGAGAAATAGTTATAAGTGTGGGCTAAAAAGGTTGTCTGCACCTTTGAAATTCAACTATTAATCATTTTGTTGCTGTAGGCATTTAACTGTGGAGATACTCAGGTAGATTAGTTTGAGGTATTGAACTAATGCTAGCAAAGAAAGTATCAAAGATGTGATTGCTGACTGTTACATGAAACTTTTTGGTAGGCATCTAAAAGGAATATCCCCTTACCATAATCTGGAAAATCAATTAATACTGATTTTGGTAAAGATCTTAATCTGTGACATCATGCTTCTAGAAGACCTAATTTATTTAGTTAAAATCTTCAAGTTTAATTATTAGCCCTCAATATCATAATGCTGGAATCTGCTCTGAATTTAATTTTCTAACCTATTTTTAGCAATTATTAATAATGTGTGAATGATCCCTGTGGAAACATCAATGATGCAGATCTGTCTGGATGTTATTGACTCCAAATGAGTGACTACATTAGTATCTTTATTTCCATGTTTGTTTCTTTATACTGATCAGTTGTTTTTTCAGCAGCAATTCAAGAAATTTTATTCTTCTTATTACATAATAGGTATATATACACAACAGATGCATATGCATTTTTCAGTGTATAATCACTGTATTGCGTTAGCAGTTTAGTCAAACAACTGTAATTTCATTTTAAGCATCCATTTTCCTTTCTAACTTTCTAGCATGCTGATCTTAATTCAGCATCTGGTCACTTATCCTCAACTGAATGTTATCAAAAGATATCCTTAGAATTCATGGAATGAGAATTCAAACAAATTAAAAGAACTGTATCAGAATTATATTTAATGGTAGCCTTACCTGGATAGCTGCAGGATTAAGAGTATCAAACACAAACTTCTCTGATCTCTAACTCCATGTGTCAACCTCTTATATCCCGTATAAGTATTGTTTCAGGAATTATGTTTCTTTCTTCAAAAGGGTTGAGAGGAAGTAAAGACTTAGTGAAAAGAAAAAAGCCATTCAATAGGTCAACAGATGGATTGTTTAATTTATGCTAACAAATTAGCTTTTGCCAGAATCTAATGGATATTCATTTTTAATTTAATGTGGATTCTTCTATGGCGGTTACATATGTGTCAGAGCAGGTTCAAATCTCATGTGAAGGGTGCCTCTTTTCTTAATATGGACAAATTAGCATAACTCATGGCATCTCAAACTTTACATGTGGCACCAGTTTGATGACAACACAACAATTTGAGATTGTTTGAAGCATTATGTGCTCTTAAAGGCTGATTCATTCCCATTCTGTATTTTGTATTGCCTGAATTGTAGCAAGAATTTTTGTTTGTATTTGACATAATGGAATACACTACGCTATTCTATTAATTCCTTGATCTCCTGCCGATATCTAAAGCTATCCCTCCTGAAAATTGTTTGAAGAACTTTGGTCTCTGATTATTCTAGAAATTAGCATTTTACGAAAGTTGAATTGAACTTTTTTCTTCCTGTTTGACAGTGCATGTTTGCAAGATGAAAGGGCATTTGGTCTGTGGATGAGCTCTGTTGTGAAGTACAGATTCATCACTCTAGATGATGGAAGACCAAATCATGTAAGATCAATGTCATGACATGATTCTTGTTCAATTCCTGCTGTATTTAACTTTGCTAGATGCGTATCTTAAACCATTATGCGAATTTTGAATTTAATACCTTGTCTGGCATCATTTATAAACCTCTGAGGGCATAATTACCTTTAAAGAGGGGGGGGAAGGAGTTGCAAGTCAAGGGCTTTCCAATTGATGCTTGTTATTTTCCCTGTTCCCTGTTCCATAGCATTCTTTTTGTAGAATTGTGAATTGGATCAAGACCTGTTAATGTAGGTTGGTTGCAGACCTGATTGCAAACACTTGGTATGAACCAACAACTTTGGTACTCCCTTTGCAGCTCTTATGTAATTCAGGTCAGATAATGCAAAATTCCGTCACTTCTTTTCTTGTTTGTTACCAATTACTGTCAGGATTTACTTTTTTTTTTGGTATCACTGATTTGATCAGACTGCTTATATTTTCATTCTCCGAGTTCACTCAAGCATTCTTATTATATATCCATGGTGCATGAGGCATGAGTTACTGATATAGTGATATAGTTAGCTATGCAATAGGCTATATCTTTTGTTTTAATTGTTAATCTCCTCATCAGGAGTATTGTCGAACATAATTTAGAATGTTGATGCCCTTTACATGTTGACAGATTCTCAAAATGGTCTTCGTGAGTGTTGTAACGCTCTGGTTACATATGAGTTTAGTAACTGATCTTTTGCGCCTTTGTCAACATGCATATGCAGGAGCAACAAAAACCATTGTGGAGGAACAAGAACAAGAAAAATGCCTACACTTTTGTTGAAACCAAAACCTTCTGGCACCAGTTGAGACCTGATCTAATCTTTTATGGAAAGAATATCCCTTGCATGTGAAATTGCCATCATCTTCACATTACACGTCAAAGTTCTGGTTAAAATGTATCCCTTGTTGGTTGGTTCATGGTTGGCTGTTTTTTTTTTTTTTTTGGAGAAAAGTAAATATTGGGATTACGATTTTTAATTTTATTAAGTGAAATTTTTTTTTTTTTTTTTTTTTGGAGAAAAGTAAATATTGGGATTACGATTTTTAATTTTATTAAGTGAAATTATTCAATGATGTCTAGTCGCAAAAGTCGAAGCTTATGTTATACGCTCGACTTGTGCAGATGACAGATTTTCTCCAAGTAATTCTTGAGTTTTATATTGTGCTTAAAGATATTTTTGGAGGAAGGTCCGTAAACTAATTAGGCAAATTTTCACTTGTATAGTTATGAACTTTAATTTTCTCTTTTAATGAGGATTTCAACTAATTGACTGTCTCATTATAATAAGTCATGATATTTTTTATATGTATAATTAGTATGCTACTCTTGTACTCTATCAAAAAATATATATATATATATATCAAAAAAGTATTTTGTAAAATTGTATATTAAAAATATAATTTGTCATATAAATTTATGAAGATATCTTTTTAAAAAATATTTGTATTATAAAATAAATTGTATTTTTAATATATAATCTTGAGTTCAGATTATATTACATAAATCTTAAAAAATATATATATTTAAGACTTTTAAAAAGGAATGAATCTCTTTGTTTCTTTCGTTTTGATAAGTTTGAAGACAGGTTATATGACAGTGATCTTAAAAATATATATATATTTAAGACT